TTTTCTTTATTTTTTATTGCTTTTTTTTTCTTTAAATGATATATACGGACCAATCCCGGTTCGTATATATGTATACGGACCGGGATCGATCCGTATATGCCCTGAACAGCAGCTCTTTTATTTTTTTTTTCAAGGTTACTGTCACGTCCCAGAACCCAAATCCGGGGACGTAACAGACGCCGTGCACTCGTGAGAGGGTCCTACAAATGCACAAGGCTCGAAACTTATCCAATTCACAATCTGATACCACCAAATCTCAAGATAAAATTTTTACAATCTGCTATGATATCATAAAATCTCCAAGTACACTCTAGCTTACAGGATCATAATCTATATCAAATTCCAGGTAGCTAGCATTCTAACTCGTCACTCCCCCTTAGTTTCCCCGTCCTCGGTTTCACTTCCTGAAATGGTGGACAAGGAAAACTATGAGATAAACTCAGTAAGTAAATATGGATAGCCCTTGTGTAAAACTTTTAAGCATGCCAGATAAACCATGTAAACGTAACAGAACTTTCACTGATAAACCGTTAATGCGAAAATCAAATTCGGTTCAATAGCAAAACGTTCAATGACAAAACCGTCAATGCAGAAGAAAACTCAATTCAGTAGTCTCATCTATAAGTCATGGCCAGTGTTATAACAACCCACTGGTAGGCGACAGAAATTTGCCAATGTATTCACCCAGTGGCAGGCGTCGGAATTAACCGGTCATATCAGTAAACATGTCGACATGTGCTAGCGTTACACCCACTAGTGGGGATCAGAAGTGCTAGCGTTACACCCACTAGCGGGGATCGGAAATGCTACACACCCACTAGCGGGGATCGGAAGTGCTAGCGTTACACCCACTAGCGGGGATCAGAAATGCTACACACCCACTAGCGGGGATCGGAAGTGCCAGCATTACACCCACTAGTAGGGATCGGAAGTGCTACACACCCACTAGCGGGGATCGAAAATCATGATTATATCAGAGACAAAACAATGTAGGATTACAGAAAATTTCGAAATTCACAATCCATCTCAAATCATCAAAGCAGGATCATTAATAACATAACCACATCGGAGACAAAACAAGCAGAAATTTAAAGAAAAATCTTAATTCACCGATCGCTTTCAAATCATCAGGACAATCACTTAAATTTCAAGTAGGCATGCTCAAATCAATACAAAAGACTAATAATCTTATTTCAAATCAATCATG